AAAAAAGTTGCCTGCTTTCATTTATCTTTTCTTTGTTTTTCCAATATCAATACCTCAACTTACGCCTTCCCTTATATAGACAATTTTAAGCTGTGTTTCTTAAATGCATTATCAGGTAGCTAAAGAAAGTGCTGATGTTATAGTACTTGATGACAACTTCAGTACAATTGTGAATGTGGCTAAGCGGGGTCGTGCTGTGTATGTAAATATTCAGAAGTTTGTGCAATTCCAGCTAACTGTCAGTATTGTGGCTCTGATGATCAATTTTATTTCCGCATGCATCTCAGGTATTCAATATTCTGTTGGAGAAGTTCATTTCATTTCCTGTTAGTGATCAGTGTGTGCCAATGAAAAAAAGTGACACATTTTTCCAAAATTGATGACTGGTATTTATCTGTTGCTATAACATAGCAGGATCGGCTCCTCTTTCAGTGGTTCAGTTGCTTTGGGTCAACCTTATCATGGACACTTTAGGTGCAATTGCCTTGGCCACTGAACCACCTCATGAAGGACTAATGAGCAAGCCTCCTGTTGGAAGGGAAGTGAGTTTAATTTCCAAGACGATGTGGAGAAATATGATTGGACAGAGTATCTACCAACTGGCTGTACTATTGGTTTTCAACTTCACTGGACATCAGATTTTGAGAATTGAAGGTTCAGACACTACCACAGTTCTCCATACTTTCATTTTCAACACATTTGTGTTCTGTCAGGTATTTAATGAAATAAACTGCCGGGACATGGATAAGATAAATGTTTTCCGTGGCATTTTTGGAAGCTGGATATTCTTAGGTGTTGTGGTTTCTACTGTTATCTTCCAAGTAATCATAGTCGAGTTCTTAGGCACAATTGCAAGCACAACACCACTCAGCTGGGAACTATGGCTTCTCAGTGTTTTAATTGGTGCTGCAAGCCTGATGGTTGCTGTAATTTTGAAGTTGATACCTGTCGAACAGAAGAATACCAAGCACCATGATGGTTATGATTTACTGCCAAATGGTCCAGAACTTGCCTAAGAAAAGGGGAGAGCCAATGGATAATAGAAAGCCATGCGATATGAGAAAGTTTAATTGGTCCAAGTTCGAATGATACAATACCTGGTTTTCAGGTGAGGAAAGGAAAACAACACCAATGGAAAGAAAATACAGACAAAAGATTTCAACAGCTCATACACCAATAAACCTCCAAGAACCAGTTCAAAGGTATTTGTTTGATTTTTACTCATGTTTTTGTAAATGGTGCTTGGGATGTTGTTGGAAGTTCATTTCTTGGTAGCACCTAAATGTGTCAAGATACGCGATTCTTTTAATAGGGGAAAAAAAGCTTATTTTTGTTTGTGAAGACAAGTTGTTTGAGAGCAGATTTTGGACCTTGCATTTTAGCCGGAACGTTCTTGATTTTGAAAAAGCATCAAGTAACCAAAAAAAAAAAAAAAAGAATTCCTGATTGACAAGAATCACAAGATACAATATACTTGGAGAAGTGTTGATTCCAGCAAATGTTGAAAAAAGTATTACTTTCTTGCTTTGTTTACCATCTGAGATGGATCATTATTTTTCAATTATTTTTTGGTTGAATTGAGTTTCCTGGATCTGCACGTGCATACAGATCATAAAAGGAGTTTCTTTTGGAGAAGTTTTATACGTTAAAGCGTTGCTTTAATAAAGGTACCTCAACATTCTTGGGACCGCAAAATTCTAAATTCTAAAATTGTAGAACCAATTGATTTTAGCCCAAGAAGGCAAAAAATCCCTGCCAGGGTGCATATACCGGGAGTGTCAATGTGGAAATTTGATTGTTTGATCCTAGCCAGAATAGTAGGTTTCTGTTACAGGTAAGCTCCCTTACTCTCAAAAGTTTGGGAAGATGCCGGAAAAATGTTTTTTTAAATAGTGTATGAAATATGTAGTTAAGTGTACTCGAATAATGACAACTTCTTGAGTGAAATAAATTGTTAAGTAGTTAGTCATGTATAGTGTCCCACGTTGGAAAATAGATACCTATTATTATGTAATTGTTGTATATAAATAGGATGTTGTACAACACTTGAGATAAGCATTAATATTTTCTCTCGTGCTTTCTCATATAGTATCAGAGCATTAGTGAGAAAAGATCGATGTGCGTCATTCCCGCGACATCCAGGAAGACATAACTCAATCACCGTGCAATTTTCCGGTGACCTAAGTGACTGATTTGTCACGTTTGGTGAGTGTTGTGCACAAACAAATACCACCATTGGACTCAGAAACCTCCGACGACTAAACCCCAAAAAGATTCTCCGGAAACAGATGCCCCACGCGCCACCCAGATCTGACATTCCGCCGACGCGTTTGTCCCACGCACCGGTGCGTGAGTGCATCTCCAGCTATATTTTGGTCAAGCTTCTTCAGGACAACCTGGTCGCACAATAATTCCAAGTCTACCAGTACTATTTCCGACAAATTCCGACAACTTTGGAATTTTCCGGCGAGCTACAGTATTTTCCGACGTAAAATAGTGTTATGTTTTTATGCTGTGAACAGTGTTTTCCCAAATATTTCTTCAGTTTTCCTGCAGGAGTTACTGATTTCCACTATTTCAAGTTAATCGTACTACTTTTAGTCATGATTTTGAGAAATAAATTGTAGCGAAATGGGATCCAATAGTATGAATGGTTGGATTTCTCTACTGGATTATATTGAGTTTCTTCAGTATAAAGCATGTAAACAGACATCTTCAGGGATAGCTTCCGTTGTTCAAACAGATAGTAGCGTTACTTATGTCTCCCAATCTTCAACCTCTAAGTCTTGGGTCATTGCTTCAGGTGCATCTGATCATATTTCTGGTAACAACTCTCTTTTCACTGCTATTTCATGTTCTCAATCTCTCCCAACAGTCATAATGGTCAACGAGTCTCAAACCACGGCAACCGGAATAGGACAAACAAATCATCTTCCTTCCTTACCTTTAGATTCAGTTCTTTATGTTTCCAGTAGTCCTTTTAATCTCATAGCTGTGAGTCGCTTAGCCAAATCACTTAAATGCTCTGTTTTATTTTTTGATGATCTTGTTTATATACATGAATGCAGTACAGGGCGTGAATCAAATGGACTTTATTATCTTATCCTTGCAAAATCACATTGACTCACATCTTATCTTCCTTCAACAACTTGTCCTGTTACCAATTCACTAGATTTATTACATAAACGGGTGGGACATCCCAGTTTGTCAAATTTTCAAAAAATGATACCTTGTTTATCTCACTTGTCCACTCTAGAGTGTGAGTCATGTCAGCTAGGTAAGCATACCCGCTCCCATTTCCCTCGGCGTCTTGATAATCGAGCAAAGTCACCTTTTACTTTAGTCCATTCAGATGTTTGGGGTCCTAGTCAGGTTAGTTCTACCTTGGGATTCCACTACTTTATCAGTTTCATTGATGATTATGCGAGGTGCACTTGGATATTTTTTGATGAAAAATCAATCTGAGTTGTTTTCTATTTTCCAGACCTTCCATACTAAAATTCAAAATCAATTTGGGGTTTCTATCCGCACATTTTATAGTGATAATGCCCTAGAGTATTTGTCTTTCCCATTTCAGCAGTTTATGAACTCTCATGGGATTATTCATCAAACATCTTGTCCGCACACATCTCAACAAAATGGGGTAGCTGAAAGAAAGAATAGACATCTTATTGAAACTGCTCATACGCTAGTCGTACAATTTCATATTCCGTTGCGTTTTTGGGGGATGCATTTCTTACATCTTGCTATCTTATTAATCTTATTCCATCTCAGCTATCCAAAATCAAGTTCCATTCTCTGTCTTGTTTCCCCACTTACCTTTGTTGTCTCTTCCACCCCGTGTCTTTAGAAGCACGTGTTTTGTTCATAACCTTACTCCAGGAAAAGATAAGTTAGCTCCTCGTGCTCTTAAGTGTGTATTTTTGGGTTACTCAAGAACACAAAAGGGGTATCAATACTATTCTCCTGACCTCTAGTGGTACCTTATGTCCGCTGATGTCACCTTCTTTGAAACTCAATCATACGTCACAGGTCCAGGTAATCACTTAGATATTTCTGAGGTGCTACCAGTTTCATTTTTTGGAGATTCAGTCACTATCTCCCATTCATCTTCTTCTATAACTCCAGCTCCACCACCTACAGCTCCAGTTGCAACTCCACCACCTATAACTCCAATTCCACCACCTAGTCCAGTTCTACCTTTCGTAGCTCCATCACTCTTGACTTATCATTGTCGTCCACGTCCATCATCAGACCCAAATAATTCACGTCGTGCATTAGATTCTGCACCTACTGCGGACTTATCTCCTCTTAGTCAACCAATTTCACTCCGTAAAGGTGTACGATCCACACTTAATCCTAATCCTCATTATATTTGTTTATGTTATCATCGTCTGTCATCACCTCATTATACTTTTATATCATCTTTGCCCACTATTTCTATCCCTAAGGGGTCGTTTGGTAGGGTGTATAAGAATAGTGCGGAATAAGGTGTATTAGTAATGCATGGATTAGTAATGCATGGGTTAGTAATGCAAGCATTAGTTATGCAAATATTATTTCTTATCTATTGTTTGGTGTGGTGTATTAAAATTATAATGCATTGCATAGTTTTTAAGAAAAATAGTTGCTTACAAAAATGTCCTCCATATTCTCTTGCTTTAAGGGACTTTATGGATAATTTTGTCTTTAACCATGTTAATGCATGCATTAAAGCCTTGGTATTACTAATGCCATGGTTTTCTATGCATTACTTATGCATAGGATAATGCCAAGTATGATGTATAACTATACAAGTTGAAAAAATGTACCAAACAAGGTAGTAGTAATGCATAGAATTAATGCTTGCATTATTTTTTCTAATACCTCCTCCCAAACGACCCCTAAGTATACAGGTGAGGCACTATCTCATCTAGGATTACGAGAGGCTATGATTGACGAGATGTCTGCTTTACACGCGAGTGACACTTGGGAGCTTGTTCCTCTTCCTTCAAGTAAGTCTATCGTTGGTTGTCGTTAGGTTTATACAGTCAAAGTCGGCCCGGATGGCCAGGTTGATCGACTTAGGGATCGTCTTGTTGCAAAAGTATACACTCAGATTTTTGGGCTTGATTATAGTGACATTTTTCTCCCATGGCTAAAGTAGCATCTATTGGTCTCTTTTTGTCTATGGTTGTTGTACGTCATTGGTCTCTTTATCAGTTAGACATTAAGAATGCTTTTATCCACGGTGATCTTGAGGAATAAGATTATATAGAGAAACCACCTGATTTTGTTGCTCAGAGGGAGTCTAGTGGTCTTGTATGCCGATTGCGCAGGTCACTATATGGTTTGAAACAGTCCCCTCGAGCATGGTTTGGTAAGTTCAGCACAGTTATTCAGGAGTTTGGCATGACTCGTAGTGAAGCTGATCACTCTGTGTTTAGCGGCATTCTGCTTCTAATCTGTGTATTTATCTGGTGGTTTATGTTGATGATATTGTTATTACTGGCAATGATGAGGATGATATTACTAATCTGAAACATAATCTCTTTCATCACTTTTGGACTAAGGATCTGGGTAGATTGAAGTATTTTCTAGGTATTGAGGTCGCTCCGTCTAGCTCAGGTATTGTTACTTTACAACAGAAGTATGCCTTAGATATTCTTGAGGAGACTAGAATGATGGGTTGCAGACTTGTTGACACTCTTATGGATCCGAATGCTAAGCTTCTGCCTAGACAATGGGAGCCTCTTAGAGATCCTACGAGATATAGGAGGTTGGTCGGCAAATTGAATTACCTCAAACCAGACCTGACATTTCTTTTCCGGTGAGTGTTGTAAGTCATTTATGGATTCTCCTTGTGATAATCACTGGGATGCAGTTGTTCGCATTCTTCAGTATATAAAGTCAGCTCCAGGCAAAGGATTACTATTCGAGGATCGAGACCACGAGCAGATTGTTGGGTACACAGATGCTAATTGGGCTGGATCACCTTCTGATAGACGTTCTACGTCTGGATATTGTGTTCTAGTAGGAGGCAATTTGGTCTCTTGGAAGAGCAAGAAACATAATGTAGTTGCTCGATCTAGCGCCCAAAGCCAAATATCGGGCCATGGCTATGGCAATGCGTGAGCTAGTTTGGGTCAAGCAGTTGATCAAGGAGTTGAAGTTCAGAGAAATCAACAAGATGGAACTGGTGTGTGATAATCAAGTTGCTCTTCATATTGCGTCAAATCTGATGTTCCATGAGAGGACTAAACATATTGAGATCGACTGTCACTTTGTCAAAGAAAAGATCCTCTCAGGAGATATTGTTACAAAATTTGTGAAGTCGATGACCAGATTGCAGATATTTTCACTAAGTCTCTTACTGGTTTTCGTATTAGTTGCATCTGTAACAAGCTTAGTATATATGATTTATAAGCACCGGTTTGAGGGGAAGTGTTAAATAGTTAGTCATCTATAGTGTCCCACGTCGGGAAGTAGATGCCTATTATCATGTAATCATTGTATATAAATAGGGCGTTGTACAACACTTTAGATAAGCAATAATATTTTCTTCCGTGCTTTCTCACACAAATGATCTCAATCTCTCATTTCAGAGAAATAACTCACTCATGAGGTTGATGAGGTAATCCAAGTGTAAGACGCAAGGCTTCTGCGTTGAAACAAGCTCACTTTTCTCAATTTGAAGTCATAAAGCGTCTATATCTGGCTTAATTAATTGCTTCTTGGAGGAAAAGGCACTACTGGTTTTAGTGAAGGCAGCGAATAAGTTTTGCTTACTCCCTGACAAACTAAGCGTCAATACTTTTGAGGTACAGCATTTTCACCTGTTTCATTCTCAATTCATGCATTACAGAAAGTAATTGCCACTAAAATTCTTAACACAGAAGCTAAGAAGACACCAAACAGCACTTTCAAAGTTCCATGCTATGCTTCAACCACAAATGTAGGCTGAACATTCATATCAGCAACAGGATTTACATACAAGCGAACAAATATTCAGCAGAGGATAACAGAAAACCAATAGGATACTATATTACTCTGGTGTGATAACATACAATCTGATACAACTGCGTACATTCTATCACGTGGATAAAAAGAAATACAACAGAAGAACGAAATAGTTCCCTGCCGTGTCCCTTAAAACTTTAGTGCGACGACATAGAATCTGATACGACTGCATACATGCTCTCATGAGGAACATAAAGAATACAACAGAGGAATGGAAACGATTCCCCAGACCCCATCCCCTTTTCCATTTCATCACTTGATCTATGGGCTACAACGTTGCAATGGAAATCTATCTTTCCCTAACTCTACCATGCACCTACCTTTCAATAAACAAAACTGGGGGACTCTGCATGGCCAGCTCATTTGTGTCTTCTTTTGGATTCTCCATAAGCAACGACCCCCATGACGGTCATTGCATAGCCCGCAATGCCAATAAAAGTTACAGGATTGCGGAAGAGAAGTATCGAGATAACAACAGCCACAGCACCTTTGGCATTCCCTAGGACCTACAAATATCCACAGAGAATAAAGATGTTCAAAATAGGTTAAAGCAAAATGTACTAAACAGTAAACAGAGAAGCCTAATTATGACAACAAAAGGGGGAAAAACGGGAACGAGGCAAGAGAAGGAGAGTGCAAACCTGGAGTGTCAATGCACTGGTGTGCTTAGTTACCAAAAAGTTCAACAAGTTGGCCGCATATGCCATTGCAGAATTGATCAAAACAAGTAGGACCAGGTATCTCTGTGTTGCCGCAAGCGTAATAGTGACATCTATCACATTGGGCTCCATTACTAGTGTCGCAGGCAATAAGACTAAAACAGCAATTGGTGACATGTAAAGTAGCAGATTCATGGAGTTCAACTTTTCCCTAAAAAATAACAGGAGGTTACAAAATGTGAAGCAGCAGATCCATGGAGTTTCAACTTACCCCTAAAAACTATCAGCAGGCTATAAACGAGGTCACAAAAGAAAACTAGAGCAGGCTATCAGCAAAGCAAATGAATAAGATATAATCTACCAAAGAGACAAGGCTAAATATAATAATAACATACTAGAGGAATGACCTTTGAAGTGTTGAAGATGAAAATTAACCACAACCTTCGATTGCATGGAAATACCAAAAGCTGTTTTCATTCCAATATTTGACAAGTTGCAGATTGACGATTGAACAACTTGGAAACTCAGACAAGCTAAACAGCAGAAATTGGACAAATGAAGCAACTAGAATTCTAGAAATTGTTAAGCTGCTGGATTAGTTCCACACTCCTATAATGAATGATGGGGTTGGGAAAATGGTCAAAATTATATCCGCTTGATTGAGGACACTGCCCAGTTTTTTGAATTAAAGCTACGTATTAAAAAAAAGTATAAAAAAGCACAATAAACAAACAAGATAATTGTAGTAAAAAGAATATTTTGGTTGACCCTCCTATCATTTGATGTCCGCTCGTTCCCCAATTTCAATTCCCAATGAACAAAATTATCTTGACATATAATTTGTTTCTAGTTATAATGTTATTATATTATTATAAATGGGATATAGGAGTAATATATATTCATATATTTTATTTTATTTTTGGATATATCAGTTTCATTTATATGACTGTGCCAACTTCATAAAGAGTATGCACGTATTAACATTAATCTTCAAAATGTCCAACCATCTTAACAGAACACGGTATCCTCGTTTTATAACAAAAGTGAAAATGCAACAACAAAGGACTTTTGACTATCTATAGTGGTCTTCCAACTCCTTCAAGTTTTCTACTATTCATTTCCCTCCAAATCATCCAAAATGCGAAAAGAGGAGCTACCTTTCATATCTTTTTCTTCCTGGCATCCATCTTTCTCACCCTTCAACTTGCTATAGCTTCCATCATTGTTCTAGGAGGTAACCAGATTATATCAAAGAAAGAATGTCCTAACAAGTAACAACCATAACTCTATTGCAAAGCTGCAATGTAGAAAACAGTGGTCCACACTCCTTTAGCACCAGCTTCAAGCATTGAGAGCCATGATCTCGGCTTATCAACTTCGCTTATGTTTGTGATAATAACCTGCCAGCTACTGGATTGACACTCATTTCTGTCCTTTATTATTTGTTCTCCTTGCTTGGCTCGTACTGATGGACCTGTCAGGGATTTCTCAACTCGTCGATGTCCATGATAAGGCCCGATAATCTTGCACAATTTGAGAATTATTGATATTCAAATTGTCGTGTATTCTCTCCAACTGATTTGTCGTGTATTCTCTCCAACTGATTTGTGCTGTTCCTCAAGCCAATCAAACTCTCTGTGTTCATTTGGCGACTTCAAAACTTGGCACCTTCTCTGTGGCGCAGTCTCTTCACCGGTTTGAAGTCAAAGTATATTGCACTTATGCACTCCTACCACATATAATTTACTCTCTGTGTTACTGGAAATCATAGTGGCTAGGTTCAGAAGCAAATTGATACCCCTTTTCAGGGACAGCCCTAGTTCTATAGCATACTTTGCATTCTGCAACCTACCACAAGCTTAACTCTCGACATGTCGATTAAACGGAACAGTACTAACGACCATCAGGATGATCGTGTAGCAAGAAGGCCTCACCAATCCACTGTCACCCTAGTAAGAGACAAACTACCTTTGGAGGAAAGCGGAATAATAGTAGTGTATGTCCTAAATTTGACACCTTTAAACCTGGCAAAACTTTCCATACTTGAGCTGCCCACTTGCAATAGCTTCCATTGATCTATTTGCTGATCATAGTGGCCCAATAAACATGTATTCAGGAAGCCTTTTCTCTTTGTTGTTTCACTAATGGATACACGGGGACTTGTTTCATCAACAGTCATTGCTGGGGGAGATTAATGGCCAACCTGCTACCTCCTTATAGGACTTTAAAATGGAAGCCATTTTGCTAGACTTTTTACAAGCTTTGCAAACAAAAGTTCCTTATTATCCCTCCACAACGCCATATAATCCAGGGAAATGACTTGTCGAACAAAGTCAAGAAGTTTTATTGCCATTGCTGTCAAGCTGTTTTTCACAATGCGAATGTCCCAAGGCAAAGCACCAAGAAGTGCACAGCAAATTTGCCCCAAAAATACACAAAAATGTGTAGTTCTGGAGTGAGAGTTCACATAGACCCAAAAATATACAAAAAGGAAATAGTTGCATTTATTTCCATAAACTGACTAATATAAGGATAAAGAAAAGAACCAACAACAATTATAACACTACTTAAAACTTAAACAGATGGCTGGAAGCAGGAAAAACTAACCCTTCATTGGAAAGAAGGACGCCTTGAAGAACAGACTTAAAGGCTCTAGCAGCAGTTGCACTTATGCACATGATAAATCCATACAGGTGGAAGCTTGGTTCACCCTGCCAGCAATTAAGATACTTATCAGACAACAAGTCAAATCAAGTAAATAAGCCACTGGAAAGAGGATTGAGATGTCAACTAGTTGAAACGTTTTATAAATCAAGATGTTATCATTCTTTTCTTACTATGGTGTAACTGATATCAACATTGAACAGATCAAGACTAATGATTTAGGAAGACTAACTATCTTAGATAGAGGTAATTCCTGCTAGTGCACAGCCATAAGCCATTACGCTGATATCATTCACTTACTCCCAACTGGGAATACTTTGGACCAATAGCTGTTCAAATTATATCTGCAACTTCAGTTAGCTAATTAAGCTTACTCTCCATTAACTAATTTGCATCTACAGAAGAGGGATATTTAATCTTTTACAATCAGAAGGTAATTTCCCCAAAGCACATATTTTTTTATATAAACCTATCTTCCATATTTCTCTCCTCAAAAAGTACTTTATATCAAATGTATTAGAAGAGGATATAACTTGGAACTTGACATATTTGGCGCTAATCAGAATATTGAATGACAAGGTATTAAGGTGGTAATTTTTTCATTAATTTTCAATAAGGTAAGAAACCTATATATTACCTTGTTTTTTCACAGGATAGACCTAATATTTCAGCTCCACTCGCGTGCTTACCTACTTAGAAACTTGAAATAGTTAATCATCACTTTCTAATTTAATTTAGAACTTAAATTCTCGCTAGCAGACTTTGGATCTCCCAGTTTATTAAGTCTATTAATCATAAAATGGTGACTACATTGCAAGTCAATCTCAATAAGTCCCACATTGGTAGCTGAAAAGACTGGGAGCATAATATAAGGTGTAGGGATCTCTTAATGGTGTGAGGCCTTTTGGGGAAAACCGTGCGAGCTGACCCATCTCTTAATGGTGTGAGGCCTTTTGGGGAAAACCGTGCGAGCTGGCCCAAAGCGAACAATATCACACCATGTTAGAAGTATCTTTGGGTTGGTTGAACCCAGCAACATAATTGCTTGCATTCTACAGCTAAAAACAAAGATACTAACACAACTAGTACTATCAAATAAGAATTTGCATATTGTATGAAGGGAATACACAAAATTCTCAGATCTGATCTTAAGCTGTAAGATTCACACTTTAAAAGAAAACCTTCAAAAATCCTCCAATTTAGTACTTAGCAAGTATAGATCCACTAGAGTTTTTAAAATAAAATAAAAAAAATCCCAAAAAGGTTCAAAAAACAAGAAACACAACAACAAAAAAACACAAAGTTAAGCAAATTTAAAATTGATCCAAAAAGAAAAGATTTTGAACATACCCCACTAGCAATGACAACACCACCAACCACAGGCACAAGGCAGCCATAAGTAATCCAAGATTCCTTCTTATGTGTAATCAAATAAGCAAATAAAGCTGTGAAAAACGGCGTCGTTGCGCCCACAGCCTGATTAAAGGATACAGCCAGGTACCTAAGAGAAATATTACCACCGACAACAGACCCACAAAAGACAATGCTGAGAGTAGCAATTCTGAAAAACTGAGATCTTGATTTGATTCTTTGAAAAGGAACAATCTTTAAGAAAATAATGGACACGTAGCTTAAGACAGCACAAGCTGACATGTGACACATTGTTAAGAATATAGGGAAAGAAAATCCATAGTTTGAGAGTAATAATTTGTTAAGGAGAAGGACTCCAATGTTTGAGGAGTACCAGAAGATGATTAGTGAGGCAATGAAAAGAGTTTGTTTTTCTGATTGTGCTGCTGACATTGTTTTTGTTCAGTGTGTATGTGTGTTTTGGTGTTGTTGGCTTTGTAAGGGAAGGTTTCATTGATGTGCTTTCCTCAGGTTGAGGAAATGTTTTACTAGTAATCTGAAGGGTGATTTTTGATTTTGTATATAGTGTGTGTGTGTGTTTTTGGGAACGTTTGTAGGGAAATGTGCAGGTGGAGGAAAGAGAATATATGATTTGTGTGCGACTGGACGTGTGTCTTTGTGTCTCTCGGACCGCTTCGATGCTGATCTACGAACCCTTTAGATAATGACCGTAACATATGCTAAGATAAATAAATACGCAAATCTATTATGTTTTCGTTTTATTTATCTTAGTTTTATATATATGTTTATCCGTAAAACGGTACAGTTGAATTTATATACGTCGTTTATAGACAAGTGAATTGATTTGATTCCAAAATAATAAATAAATTAAACAAGATGTAAAACTTAGCATTGAAACCGAGATAAGACAGCAAAAATCCTGGTTCCGAGAGCAGAGCTTCCGAATGCAGTAGTAACAATATTACTAAGCAAGAAGATCAAATATTATTGAGCTTTGAATTGAATATAGTATATGCTTGTCAGAAAAATCGTGTCCCTTATAACGGTTGTTGAGCCCTCTATTTATAATTGTACCTAGGGAACAAGGTCCTAGAATTGACGAGGCCATTGTCTATAGGATTTCCCTGCTTGTGCTTTGTCAAATTCTAGTATAGTTTATGATATCGTCCCACAGAGATTAGAACATCTATGTTAAATACTATTATTATAGCACAATATAAAATATAAATAGAAAGTTCCAAAGCAAGACTGTATTAAAACTGAGATAGTATTATAATATATATATCAAGCTTCATCAACTATCCCAACAAAAAAAAAAAAGATTACTCCATTATGAAGTAAGAAAAAGAACCTAGTTTAGAAATACGAAGAATTGGTGCAAAGATATTATTTTTCACAAAAGGATAACTACTAGGACTTAGGAATATTAAAGACAAAATAGAGACCAAGAATAGTTCTTCTCTGCTCAAGACTCGATGTCTTCTTTCCAACATTCACTCTCTATTTATAGAGTTTTTTTTTCCTAAGATTCTTCATAGTTGCAATTATGGGAATTGTAGTTGCAACTATGGCCTTATCAATTTCTTCCTTTTGCGGAGAAAGACTATAGTTTCAACTATAGTTCTCTAGTTGCAACTATGTGATTTCCTTCATGATTCTCCATTGTTATCGTCGCAACTATGGTGTTTTAGTCCATTTGCTTCTTCATTCCCAGTAGACTACTCAATTCCCACTTTTTTGTTTCTTTTCTTCGATTTTCATATGCTCTTTCATTTGCGAAATATGTTAGAAAATATGGGAGAATATGATATATTTATTCATGTTTTATTTAAAATATTTAATATTTACATATAAAAATATATAAATAAATTACATCCATCAAATTCCCCCACACTTGAATCTTTGCTCGTCCTCGAGGAAAAGCATTTCTATTGATAATTTTTTTTTTGTGTAACATTTTCTTCAAAACGTTTGGTCTTTATAGGATAGAAAATTTATTCAAAATAACTTCTTTCATCATGCCAAATGATTAATCTTTTAACCTTCACCAAATCTTTTACCTTGCCTCTGATTTTACTTTTGAAAAAATAAAATTTGCATTTTTTTCCTCTTGAATATTTCGGAATTGATAACTTTATGATCACAAGTCTTGAATATCACAATTGTTCGTTTATAGGCTGCTCTTCATGTTAATCTCCACTAATGTAGATTCAACACTTATTTTTGAAATCTATTTAGGGCTTTTTCTTGGCTTATAATGTCAGGCTTCAGGCTGACAGGATAAAGATATTTTTGTAGTGACTTTTCTTCTTCCAGCTTGGAGCAAATGTTCCTTGGTACTAATTATTCCATTTTTTTCCAGTATTTGTTTTTTGTATATATGCTTTCATCAATATAAAGAGATATAATAATATACACACACTTATATATTATATCTCTCTCTTGTTCCTTTTTTTCTTTTCTGTTTCGTGCCTTGCACAATCTTTCTTNAAACCTACAACGACACAATTAGTTAAGAAGAAAAAATTTATTATAACATTATAGAAAAAAAGTATATATATATATGAAGTACTAAAGAAATTTTTGAAAAAATAAATTAAAAATCTTTTTAGTGTTAAAATTTATAGTCATAGAAGAAAGTTTGAAAGAAACTGTGACCACACATATTCTATGTGTAGTAGACTGGACTAGCTTTTAGACCTTATCATTCATGGGGTCCAGGTTTTGATATAAACCAGAAAATTTACCTGAGCCAATAATTAATTTACACAATTAGATGGTTAACCAACCAGTAACTTAGGCATACCGACCACCATGGAATTACTCTTATATAGATGGCTCTATTTTTGTTGAGGCCTGCATGAGATGTCCTGGTTGTACAATAATCTGGATATTAACCAGATCAATTGGTTAAGCATATATTCATACAAATTATATTGGGCTTATGAGGCTCCATTGCTTCACCCTCAATGGCTACGGGTAAAGAAATTGTAGTTCTGAATTTAATGTCGTCAGTTCGACTTATTAACAGTGGAATATATTAGGCTATCAAGGTTATTGATGGTTGTTGCTCAAAATGGCCTCCAAAATACAACTTTAACTTGTGACCATTTACCTTAAATTTGTCTCCTCCATTGATCTGTTGAATTTTAATTGCCCCATATGGAGTAACATCTGTAACATTATAAGGACTTGTCCACCTGGATTTTAATTTCCCTGGAAATAGCCTCAGCCTGCTATTATAAAGAAGTACTTGATCTTCAATTTTGAAACTTTTTTGTTGGATCAAATTGTCATGCCATATTTTTGTTTTTTCTTTGAATATTCTGGCATTTTCATAAGCTTCCAACCTCAGTTCTTCCAATTCATTAACCTGAAAAAATCTTTTTTTACCAGCAGAGGTTAATTCAAAGTTTAATGCTTTCAGTGCCCAAAAAGCTTTGTGTTCTAATTCAACTGGCAAATGGCAAGCCTTTCCAAAGACTAATTTATATGGAGATGTTCCAATTGGCGTTTTGAACGCCGTTCGGTATGCTCATAATACATCATCTAATTTTAAAGATCAGTCTTTTCTTGAAATTCCAACCATCTTTTCAAGAATTCTTTTTAACTCGTGATTGGAAACTTCAACTTGCCCCTGTGTATGAGCATGATATGGTGTTCCAGTTTTATGAGTCACACCATATTTTGATAGCAAGACAGAAAATTTCCTATTCACGAAATGAGTTCCTTGATCACTAATGATGACTCAAGGTGTGCCAAATCTAGTAAAAATATATTTTCTAAGAAAATTACACACTGTATGAGCATCATTCTTCCTTGTGGAGATGGCTTCAACCCATCTTGATACATAATCCACAGCCACAAAGGTATATTCAAATGAATGAGAAGAAGGAAAAGGACCCATGAAATCTAGTCCCTAAACATCAAATATTTCACATACCTTTATTGATTGTAACGGCATCTCATCTTTCTTAGTGATATTACTTATTTTCTGACACCTGTTACATTGTGCAACATATGCTCGGGCATCTTTAAAGAGTGTTGGCCAGAATTATCCGGCCTCCAATACTTTAAATGTCGTACGGTTTGTAGCATAATGACCTCCAATTGCTCCATCATGACAGTGATACAAAATTTTGGTCATCTCTTCTTCGGGTACACACCTCTTAATGATATTATCTGCACAAATTTTGAACAAGTAAGGTTCATTCCACAAATAATACTTAGCATCAGAAATAAGCTTTTTTCTCTGCTGGTAAGAGAGATCTTGGGGTGTCCATCTTCCAACCAACTAGTTAGCAATATCTGCGAACCAGGGTGGTTGAGTCACAACAGAGTCAACTGAAAAAATGTGTTCATCAGGAAATTCTTCTTTTATCTCGCTGAACTCAAGGGGAGGGTCTTCTAGTCTAGACAAATGGTCAGCTACCTGATTCTCTGTTCCTTTTTTGTCTTTTATCTCAAGGTCAAATTCTTGCAGAAGTAAAATCCATCTTAACAATCTAGGTCGAGCATCTTTTTTGGCTAAGAGGTATTTTAAAGCTGCATGGTCAGTAAAAACAGTCACCTTTGTTCCTATCAAATAAGAACAAAATTTATCAAATGCAAATACTACTGCCAGTAACTCTTTTTCTGTTGTGGCATAATTCAGTTGAGCCTCACTTAGTGTTCTACTAGCATAGTAAATAGGACGAAAAATCTTATCCTTTCTTTGGCCTAGAACAGCTCTAACTGTCGTATCACTAGCATCCACATAACCTCAAAAGGTTGACTCCAATCAGGGGACACAACTATGGGGGCAGTTGATAATTTCTCCTTAAGGGTGTTAAAAGCTATCATACAATCACCTGAAAAATCAAACTTAACATCTTTCATCAAGAGGTTAGTCAGAGGTTTTGAAATTTTTGAAAAATCCTTTATGAACCGTCTATAAAAACCTGCATGACCTAGAAAGTTTCTAATGCCTTTAACAGTTGTGGGAGGGAGTAATCCTGCTATAAGATTAATTTAGCCTTATCAATTTCTATCCCATTAGCAGTGATTTTATGTCCTAAAATAATTCCCTCTGTAATCATAAAATGATATTTTTCCCAATTCAGAATCAAGTTTGTCTCTTCATATCTCTTAAGAACTAAAGCCAAGTGGTAAAGACAATCTTCAAATGTTTTGCCAAAGAGTGTGAAATCATCCATAAAAATTTCAAGAAATTTTTCAGTCATGTCAGGAAAAATTGCTGACATGAAACGCTGAAATGTAGCAGGGGCGTTGCACAGACCAAATGGCATTCTCCTGTATGCATATGTTCCATGAGGACATGTGAAAGTTGTTTTATCCTGATCTTCAAGTGCAATTGGTATTTGGTTATACCCTGAATAGCCATCAAGAAAACAGTAAAAACCATATCCTACAATTCTTTCTAACATTTGATCAATAAATGGTAAAGAAAAATGATCTTTTCTGGTAGCATCATTGAGGCGTATATAATCAATACAGAATGTCTATTCTGTAACAGTCCTCGTAGGTATGGGTTCATTATTTTCATTCTTTATAACTGTCATACCTCCTTTCTTTGGTACTATCTGAACTGGACTTACCCAAGGGCTATCTGCAATTGGGTAAATAATACATGCCGCTAGAAGCTTGACAATCTCCTTTTTCACCACTTCCTGCATTGT